TCTCTGTCAGGTTTGCTTGGCAGGTAGAAGGTGGGAATCTCTTGTGTATGGGTGCACATGCATTGCTCAGGCCATTAGCTGCCTGCCTTTATCACAGGCCACACAGGACTATTATACAGGGAATTTGTTGATACTACTTCCAGAATTTTGCAGGTGTGTCAGTCCGGGTTGACTAGAGAAACAAATTCATAGACACTCATATGTATATAAGAAAGAGCTTTATATAAAAGAGCATTTGTATATTGGGAAAACACCCCAGCCCTGTCCAGATCAAGTCCATAAGTCTGATATTAGCCCATATGCCCAATGCCAGTCTATAAATTCCTCTTCAGACTCACACAACACATGCAATGACACTGAATACATGAAGATCACAGGCCAGTGGGTGGAAAGTCTTGTGGATCCAGTGGTGGTAGAAGCATTTCTGTGCTGGAAAGTGTCTAGACGTGGCTTCCTCCAGTTCCAGGGCTCTAGCTGCATCAGCATAGCTCCATGTGGCTTTTCAGCAAGAAGAAGCAGAGTCTTTCCTGCCTCCAGGGAGAAATACAGGAGTTCCCAGAATCCTCAGAAGAAGGCTATGCCCACACAAAGGCCTTATTGGCTATAACCTGATTGACAGGCTAGACTGCACCCCTTCACAATTTGACAGGAGATTATGTAACTGCCACAGTTTTTAATCAAAGCATTAATTTCCTTCTGTCCACCAGGTATCGTATACTATTTCAGATTAACAATCTAAGTGGATCTCAGCAATTGTAGTGGTTTCCATTTAGTGTGTACAACCAATACTGGCCTAAGGGCAGACTTACATACTTTCATTTTTCAGTATCAGGTAAAGGAAATATTCCTTAATTAGACATACTATCCACACATTCAGGTAAGGAAGAGGCAACTGCTTCATACAAGATCTATTTATATCTCCCATTTCTCATCCCAATTTTCACTTTAGTGCCATCAATTGTTGTATCTTCATATCCCCCAGTCTAACCTTATTTTTATGGGCAGAATTAGGGCTTTTTATGGGCAAAATTAGGGATTTGTGCTCCTGTGTTTAGGAGCCCTAACAAGGTCTCTTCCACACACCCCAGGCCATTTTACCCACATATCTTCATATGGCCTCAGGTCCTCTACTAGGTACTGGACCAGAAGACCATGGCTGCCTCATATCTCCTTATTTTCATCAATTAGCTGAATCTCTGCTTCACAGAGTCCCAAGTGGGGATTAGCATCAAATACCTCTCAGCTGGGGTGAATAGATGGATTTGGTTAGTCCTCCTGCTTTTGTTTTTACAAACTGGGCTGCTAATCACAAGATGAGCAGTTAGAAATCACCAGCTGATCCTAGGGAGAGTGTTACAGTCTCAGAAAACTGCAGGGGCATTTCTTTCATGTCCGATAGGGCCATTATGAATCAGCATCAACCTAATGGCAGTGAGTTTGGTTTGGTTTAGTTTAGTAACACTGAGGGGCAAGCAGAAGTTTTCCTTGGTCCACTTAACTTCTTGTAGTGCTGTATTAGAACCTTTCTATCAGCTTCATTGATGTCTGCTATATTCATCCCATGTCTTAGTAGTCATTTAAAACTCTTTTTCCAATAGGATAAGTTCTTTCCCAATTGTCCCTTTCCATTCTCCTATTAAATACCCTTATGTTTTTGCATCTGTAAACCCCATGTGGGGAACCCATGCCAACAAATCTAGCACTGCTTCTAAGATTGTTACTTTGTTTCATAGTAGTAAAGTTACATGGGTGCCCATGTAGAAGAGGCTCTCTTGATTATCACACCATTTGTGACCTACATAAGGGACATATTCACTGAATGAATATCCCAATCACTATAAAGCCATTCTAGCATTGCTTCCTTAAGCAACACATTAGCTGCTTCCTCTGGAATGTTCCTGTGACTGTTTAAAGAAAGGGAGGGGCATTTTCTCAGGATAAATACGTCTCCCTGAAAAGTTCATCCAGTCCACTACCCTGGCTGTCCCTTCTAGGTTAACCTGCTTGTAACTACATCTAGTGTTACTATTTGTGACTGTTCTTGCATCAACCCAAGCATACTCTTCCATTCAGTAATATTCAAAACCCAAAACACTGACCTGTAATTCACCACTCTTACAAGCTATGTTAGTAACAGTTCCTCCAGAAGAAGCTGATACCAGTCACCAAACTGAAACAACTCCTCGACTCCACACCCCAGTCTCAATAGTTTATTACTTCTCCCTGTTCCCATCCTGAATTATCTTCTTGGTGACTATCAGTCCTAGGGGTACTTCCTGTTGCACAAGCAGAATTTTTCCCCTTTCTGAGTTGGCCCTGAAGCTAGTGGTTATCGTTCTGAGTGAGCTGGCTCTGGACATGAATCAGTGCTACAATTCATCCCTACATTCTTTTTTCTCTTCCATCATAGCTACAATTGATAACATAAACCAAGGAATTATGTCTTGGCCTCTCCTTATCATTACGCATTTCTATATGCATCCAACAAGCCAATTTTTCAGGAGCAGATCTGCCTTGGGTAATAGATTGCAACACAAGAGCTAATTGATTATCCCATCCAAAACCCAGAGCTTTCTCATTTTCCCTTTTAGTCCTCTTTTCCTAAAACTACATTGCCCAGTGAGTCAAGGTTATCACAGTGAGCCCCACCAATTTGACCCCCAACTGTGATAATAATTTCTTTTGACTACCAAATTTGTCCCCTGGAGTTGGACATGGAAGATGTCCCAAATGTCCAACCCTTCCAAGATGCTAGTCTGCTCAATTTTCCTCAAATCCTCCCTTGAGATATTCCCTCATGTCCTTGGGTTCTGTGATTTGCTACAACATCCCACAGAGACTCACAAAAATCTGAGGAAATGTCTGATATTATGGAGGGTGCTGCTGTGTCCAAAATCTGAAGGTCACAGAGTTGAGCCAACTGTAGTGTCCAGAACCCAAAGCCCAAAATGTCCAAAAGTCCCAGCAGGTGTTCTATTTCCAAAGCTCCATCAGGAAATAGAAGACTGGCTTTGCAGGTGAAGCAATTTGTGCTGGAAACAGCATTCATATGTACCCCACAAAAGGTGGTGTCTTAGGTCACACCCTCTACCAAGGTGAAATCAAAGATGCCCTCAAGGAAACAAAGGTTGTGGTCTGGTTCACATCCTCTGTTAAGGTGAGGTCTTAAAGGTGCTCCCAAGGAAACAAAGGGTGTGGTTCAGCCCTTTGACAGGTCACAGTCCCACCCTGCTCCCCCCCCACCCCCACCCCCCGTACATCACCATAGTAGAGAAGAATGTCCTCCAAAATGTGACCTCAGCAAGAGGCATCTAAAGTCCAGGACTATAATACATCATATAAGGAAGGGCCATGTTCATGGATCGTGGCTCAAGCTGATCGAAGCTTTCTTCTGAGGCACCCCAGGCTGGACTTTAACTGCCAAAATGGTTGGTAGCTATTGAGTGTGTAAAGCATTGGTACTCTCGGAACTTCTCTTCATATAATAGAGCATCAAAACGTTTGCAGAAAAGTTCCGTTCTCTTTTTATTCTATGTATCTACAAACTTTTTGAAGCACCCTCATATGTAGACATTGTTAAATCTTAGAAAGATAGCACAAAAGCTTCAAAGATAGTGTGATAAGATGATAGTTAAGATATTAATTTTTTTTAATGTACCATGCATTACATTGATAAAGGTCTATGTAAAAAAATTCATAAAGGAACTCTTGGAAATAATACAGAACAACTCTCAACCTGTGTTACCCTCCAGGGAGAATAATGTGGAGATATTAATGAGGCTTCAGATGCACATTTAATGATTCATTTGGTTTCAAAAATATCAAAAGCTCATTTTTACTGTCTATTAGCTCCTATCACTAGCACCATAAACTCATCTGTATTTTTATTGTGGAAAAATGTATTACATACATTTTACAAGTATCCTATTTCAGTATTCAATATTATTGCCAAACTCTAGAAACCCTGGTGTTCTAAACATTAAATATCCAGCTGTGAGCCAAAAGTCAGAAATTCAAAGCCACCACCTGGACTTCCATGGAAAACTGGTGATAAGTTCTATAAAGATTATAACTTAGGAAACATGATGAGACAATTCTATTCTGTCACATGGAGTTGCTTTTAGTCATAATTTTGTACTGGGGAAAAATAATACAAGCATGCATCATTGTTTAGTGTTTGTAGTTTAGTTATTTATTACTACATGTAGCCCTATTAGACTGTGATTAATATATTAAGCACAATGTAATGTATTCAATTTTGATAGGAAAATACATAAAAATTAATGAAAGTACAAGTTCTAATATTTCCCAATCCATATTATCCTTTAATGCCTCTTGGGATAGTTTTCACCCAACTAAGGAGCCCTGGAGGTGTGGTGGTTATGTGTTGCTTACTAACTGCAGGGTCAGCAGTTCAAAAATACCAGCTGTTCCATTTGAAACAGGTGGGGTTTTTTACTCCTGCAAGGAGTTGCGGTCTTAGAACCCCTCACGGGCAGTTCGTTTCTTCTACCCTGTTGTATGTGGTAGCCATGAGTCAGCATCAATTCAATGGCAGTGAGTTTGGTTTTTATGGAGGCTATGGTCTGGCAGGAAAATAAATAAAAGCAATCTAAGAAGTGAAAATGTGAAAGTTCAAACCACTGACTTAGGACAATTCATCACTAATTACTAGAAAACAATATGTACGGTAAACAAGAAGACCATTGGAAATGAGGGAAACCTTCAATGATATGGACTAACACCATAGTAAGAAGAATGGCTTCAAACACACTAAAGATAATGAGGATGACACAGGTCTGGGCCAAGTTTATCTATGTTCACATAAGGTTACCATGAGTTGGAGCCAATTAGATAGCTACTATCAACATGACATGGAAACCATCTGTAGATGACAGCTACATTTCAGGGTAAAAATAGGACAGAGTTCAGCAATCAAGTTTATTAAAGATAACGCATCACTCAATCAGAAACAGAAGTGTATGAGTGCCGTGTCATCTCTAGTCAAAGTCACCATGAAGCCTCCCACGTTGCCTTCTAAGAGCTGCCTTCATGTCCTTGTTCCTCAAACTGTAGATGATAGGATTCAGGGTTGGGAGTACAACTGTGTAGAACACAGACAGGAGAAGATCTAGCTTTGAGGCAGAAATTGAAATTGGCTTCACATAGGCAATGCTACCAGATATCATGAAGAGTGTTACAACCAGGAGATGTGGAATGCAGGTAGAAAATGTTTTTGATCTACCCTCTTTAGAAGGAATCTTCAGGATAGTAGAAAATATAGACACATAAGAGATAGTAATGGAAACAAAACAGACTATTACAAGACTTGTAATAAAAACCATGACCCCAATTTCAGTGATGATTACTTTGGAATCTAAGAGGCTTAAGAGCTGTGGAATGTCACAGAAAAATTGATGGACTACATTGGACCCACAAAAGGGCAATGTGAATGTTGCCGCCACATGCATAAACCCACAGATCATGCCACTGAGCCAGGACATGACCATCATCTTCACACAGGCCCTTCGTTTCATAATGACTTCATAATGTAAGGGCTGGCAGATGGCCACGTAGCAGTCATAGGACATCACTGTCAGGATAGCTATCTCAGTAGATGCCAAGTCAATGAAAAAGAAGACTTGCAGAGCACACCCAAAGAAAGAAATCGATGTATTATGGGTCAAAGAATTAACAATAGATTTTGGAACCGTGACAGAGATATAGCAGAAATCTAAGAAAGATAAATTTCTCAAAAAGAAATACATTGGGGTTTGGAGGTGACCATCCAGAGTGGTAAGCATGATGATTAATAGATTCCCCATGACAGCTGCCAGGTAGAGCAATAAAAATAGAAGAGCGTGTATTATCTGAACTTCCAAAGTGTCTGAAAATCCCATAAGAAGAAATTCTGTAACTTCAGTTCTGTTTATATAACTTGTGGTTATTCCATTTCCTCCTATAAAAAGAACAGAGGATGAAAAAATTTAGATACCTGTATGTTCAATGTGACTACTAAATATGCTAAATTGCTATTTCTGAAGCATATGAGTCAGTGAGACAGAAGATATCACTCAAATGCAAACATGACTGTGATCTTTCTAAATCTGAATCTTAGTAACATAATATGGTACTTTGTACAGAGCATATTCTCAATAAATGTACCCTGGTATGAAATGTGTATAGAAGAAATTAAATCAAAGGACAAAAATAAAATGAAGAGTGATAATAAGAATAAAATAATCAACAATAATAAGAGTAGTAAAAAATTGCAGATTGCATGTATACTTGCAGAATAAACCACTAATACTCCCCAACTTTTACATTATACATATTATTTTCCTCTTCTGCTTTATAGTGTAAAATTGCAAAGTTTACCATCATACTTTGTAATTTTTGTAAAGGCAAAGTAGTGTATGAATTTGGAAAAGAAGCCTACTCTTCACCGTATTTATTTGGTGAAATAGCAATTATAGCTTGTTTTAGAGGGAAAAGAGACCCAAAGTCAACTACAAATTCTAGAGATCCATTTATTAAATCATAAACAAGACAAAAAATAAAAATTATCTAGATGAGGGAAACAAGCAGCATGAGGATTCACAGTCATTGGGCTACCTAAATATGACATTTAAAAAGAAAGAAATAAACTATCACAAAAGCATGAGCTCTGCTGAGATCAACTTATCTCAGTTTCAGTCAGAACTACAGAATTGAGAAAGGGACCATCATGTACTATCGGAGGATAGGTGCACTATTACAGATTGGGATTGGGATACCATTACAGATAAGAAGCTTATAAAATAGGTTCATGGCCTTTTAGTCCGGTTTGTCAGGGTATGTATGACTCATGATCATGGGGTTATAGCACCCCAATTAACATCAAAGACATGCCCAGGTGAGCCCCTCAGTGTGAAGCTTCCCCTCCATGGGTTGACTAGGACAGTGGTAAGAAACACTGCCTGAGGGCAAACTTTACATTGCTCTTCAATGGTGAGAGAAATAAATGGAAGTTGAATCTATGTAGACACTCCAAAGGGGATTTAGGTCTCTCAATGTAAACAGTAAGTCTTCAAATACATGCAAACTCTTGGATGCCATTATGACCTTGTGCTAATGACCTCCCTCATCTTTGTCTTGTTTTCTTGTTTAAGATTTAATAAATATCCTCTTTAAATTGTAATTGGGGGTTCCTTTTATACCTCAAAACAACTTACTAAAAGAACATCAGAGCAGATGAAGATCTATTTTTGAGCATCCTCTTACTTGAGAAGGTTGTCTGGGCAGAGAAAATGAGTCTTCCCTCTGTAGTCCACTTTGTATACTAAATATGGAACTTAAGAGGGTCTACCTTCTACTGATCCTCACAGGCCAGGTAGGCTTATTTAGGTGGGCTAAAAACTACTACCAGTACGCCATATAGAACCACAGTTGGAGGACACCCAAAATCTCAGTCTCCCAAGCTAATTCCTACTACATTCTTGGTGGATAAAGATGGAGAGTTCTACCTGCCTCCACCTGGTATAGTGGATGAGGCCTCTAAGTCCCTCGCTAGCTATTTTACAGCCAAAAGCCAATTGGCACCCTGAATACTCCCTCAAAGACTACAAGAGAGTATTTTTTAAAAGATGAGGCCAGTCCTGGGAGGGAAGTGGCTTCATTTTGCCTTCCTCTCTTCCCAAGACCAGCAGACAAAGTGATGAACTAAGACCTCCCAATTAATTTACACCTCTTTAAGTATTGCCTGGATATTCTAGAAGACAAAGCTACCTTAGAATGCTGCAGAAGTCCAAGGGCTATTTTTAGAAATCAGAGACTAGGGGCTAAACCAAGTTTATTACCCTGCGGGTGTTAAAAGAGGCTGATAGAAAACGTGTATCTGAGTTAAGCTTTGAATATTTTGGCCACATAATGTTTAGAATAACATTTTTAAAAGGAGAACCACATAGGACAAGCTAGGTGGGCAAGATTTTTCACAGTATGATCATGGTACGGGTGTGGGTTGGTTGAAACATACACTGCTGATCCAAGCCAGTCTCATCTTTTTTGCTGTGTGTCCTTGTCTTCAGAATTGTTTCAACACTGACATGAGACATAGAATAGTGAGCATGTAACCCAGACATCTAAAATGTTGAAGGGATTTCGAGGACAAATCTTTCCTAAGATCGATCTCCCCGTTCACCTGGTGCTTTACCTTTTCTTCTAGCAAAATGGCAACATCTGTGTTTAGCTCCAGATATATGTAATGTGTTAAACCAAATTCTCAGATATATTTTTCCCTTACTGATTTTTGCCGCAATACATTACATAAGGTAGTCTATTAATTTAAATTGAACAATTTATTGAGCTTTTAAAACTATAATGCATGCAGGAAACCACTGCCTCAATCTGGACTCAAAACATTTCCATCATATCCAAAACCCTCTTCCTACCTATGATAGATCAACTCTTCCTCCACTGCTTGCCACTCGAGTGCCATGGCTGCTTTTTGGCCACTACACGTTTAAAAAGTAACCTGGAAATTTTACATAATATTAGTATTTATCGAATAAAAATTTCAGGCAGTGTTCATCAATCAGTTGCTTCTTCTTTAAAAATAAAACCATTGACTGTCTACATTACACTATTATTTGTCTATCACGTTTATGTATTTTTCAAAGAAAAGGTTCAACAAGTTCACCCTTTTTTCTCTACAGGATAAGTCAACAGACAGGCAAAGAACCAAGAAAGATTCGATTTAGTGGTTGGTGGTTGTCCACTGGAGAATCATATTTCTTTTGTTCTCACTAATTGTCTAGAGTATAGAATTAGAGGAATAGATTCAAATAGTGGATGGGAAAATGCTGTCTGTGAACAAGAAAAATAACTAACCACATTTGAGGAGACTATTTTGACAACAGTTCAATGAAGTACTACTGACAAAATTAACTTCTCCCTTTTGTTGAAATTCTTAGTCGGATAATATGTCAACACTGATTATGTGGACAGATATCACAGATATGTCTGGAGACTTTTTAACTGAGTACTATTATACAAGGTTGAAGGAGAAGAATACACTTGCATAACTGAAAATATTTTAAAACATAAGTGCAAACATGTTAAAAGGTGCGTAGAACGTCTCTTTTATACAACACAAGTGTGCATTCAAAGCTTGTAATACCATCACTGAAAAAGCACATGGACACATCCAATTCCTATGACACACTGACACTTTTATACCATTCTACTATCCCTTTCTTTTTCCTTGGTATTATCAACATGTCATACACTTCCTCACTTCCAGATTCCAAGACAACTATTACATAGATGAAATCTGTGCTCAGTTTTTAAGAATTCATAATTCTTTGCAGCTAAATTTGAATAGAACATGATATGTGGTTCTGTTCATACAGTTTCTGGTTGAACAACAAAATAATGTGTTTAAAATTTTATTTCCCCAAGTTATGTAATACTACTTAATTAAAACTTACTGCATGGTATGGGCTGATTTCCGCTGAACTTGGCCATTGGACAATTTAAGTTGGCTCAAAATTTCCAATTCCTCTTTCTTTTTCTGAGTAAGAACTTCGAATTATCTGAACGTATGTATCAGGTAATATTTTATAAATCCTTTAATATTATAATTTAAATACAATTCTTAAATCAAAATTATAAAATTATAAAATCAAAATCTATTTTAATGTGAACATGTCATTTGGTTACTTGTGTGCTGTTTTAATTTCCATTTTACCTTTTGCTGTTTATGCATCTATATTGCAAAATTAACCTAATATGCTATATAATCTTCTAAGATTTTTAAGAGTTTTATCTTTAAAGAACTATATTTAAAAACCTCTAAAATTCTGAATGGCTTACAGGATTATAAGCCAAATCAACTACAATTGATTTCTACAAATGATGTAAACTATGAATTGAAAGCTAGGTATTGAATTTTTGTCTTTTATTTAGATGGATAAACAATTATCCTGCAAAATTATTAGTGTCACTTATATTTGGCTGATCCTCAATACTTTAAGGAGTGTACATTTGTTTGGATCTGTTTCTGAACTCTCTCTTGAGATACTTTCAGTCAACCCATAGGCCAATACCATACTACATCAACTTCTGTAGGTTGGTAAAGACACACACACAAAAATAACAATATCTGGTCATCACATAAGGGAAAATATATGACATATTTGCCCTCTGGAGGAAGAGCTACATATTTCTAGCCCTTGCTAATCCCAGTGTTCAACATTTTTTCCCTTTTTTAATATTGAGTAGGATTATATATTTAGCTATTAATCACTTTGTAAAAAAGTATAAAATTATACTTCTTCCTAAATATAATGAAGTTATACCTCCACATTTATTTAGTTCTACCTCGATCATCTTCACTTACATTTTACAATTTCAAGAGCGTTATTACACATATATTTCTAGATTTTCATGTAAGTAAAATATGTTTGATAATATTCCATATGATTTATAAATTATACATTCAAAAAATATATTGAAAGAAGCTCAAGAATTAGAACCTTCAGCATGGATTACAACTCAATAGAAACAAAACAAAAATCTTCAAAAGTGCACCAATAAATAACATCGTAATAAGCAGAAGAAAGATTATAGCTTTAAAGGATTGGATCTTATTGATCCACAACAAATTCTTTTTTTTTTATCATTTTATTGGGGGGCTCGTACTACTCTTATCACAATCCATACAGCCATTCATTGTGTCAAGCACATTTGTACATATGTTGCCATCATTTTCAAAACCTTTTCTTTCTACCAGAGCCCTTGGTATCAGCTTATTTTCCTCCTCTTCCACCCTCCCTCACTCATGAACCCTTGATAATTTATAATTTTTTTCATTTATTACACCAACCACTGTCTCCCTTCACCCATTATTCTGTTGTCCATCCCCCTGAGAGGGGGTTATATGTACATCATTGTGATCAGTTCCCCCTTTCTCCCCTCACCTTTCCCTTCCCCTCCTGGTATTGTGACTCTCATTATTGGTCCTGTATGGTTTATCTGTACTGGATTCCCTGTGTTTCCAGCTCTTATCTGTATCAGTGTACATGCTCTGGTCTAGCTAGACTTGTAAGATAGAATTTGGATCATAATAGTGGAGGGAGGCATTAAAGAACTAGATTAAAGTTTTATGTTTCATTGGTGCTATACTGCACCCTGACTGGCTCATTTCTTCCTTGTGACCTTGTGTAAGGGGATGTCCAATTGTCTACAGATAGACTTTGAGTCTCCACTCCTCGCTCCCCCTCAGTAACATTATTATGATTTTTTTGTTCTGGATCTTTGATGCCTGATACCTGATCCCATCGACACCTCATGATCACACAAGCTGGTGAGCTTCTTCCATGTGGAGTTTGATGCTTCTCAGTTCCATGGCCGCTTGTTTATCTCCAAGCCTTTCAGAACCCAGACACTATATCTTTTGCTTTATATTTTTGGTTTTTTACTTTTTTTACATTTGCTTATGCACCCATTTTGTCTTCAGCGACCCTGTCAGGAAGGTGAGCATCACAGAATTCCTGGTTATTAAAACAAAGTGTTCTTGCATTAAGGGAATACTTGTGTAGAAGCCCAATGTATGTCCACTGCCTTAATATTAATATATACATTTATTTACATAGATCTATTTCCCTATCATAATATATAAATATATTTACATATGTACCTGCCTCTATTTAGACCTTGATAAATGTCCTTTGCCTCCTAGTTCTTTCCTTTATTTCCTTTTACTTTCATTTTGTCCCACTATCATGTTCGACCTTCATTCAGGTTTCAGTAATTCCTCTCGGCTACATTGCCTTTGATCAAGCTCCACCAGGCATCCTATGCCCACATCATCATTGATTTTAGATTAATTGTTGTTCCCTTTTCCCTAGGTTTGTTGGCACCCCCCTTCCTTTCCCTCACCATCCCTTCTGTCCTGTGCCCCTGGAACCATCGGTTCTGTAGTTTTCTCCTCTGAATTGTTTATCCCGCCCATCTTATCTAGATAGACATGCAGAGACAATAATAAGCACAAAAACAAGACAGAGCAAAACAACAAAAGAAAACAAAACAACACAACAAAAAATAACGATAAAAAAGAAAAGCCTACAGAGAGGGTTTTTTTTACTTTAGCAGTGTTTTCCAGTAGAGTTTGAGTGGGTGCCACACCCTGGTCCCAAAGTCTATTTTTAGTATTCCCCAGGGACTTCATCGCTTTGCTCTCCTTGCTGCTCTGTTGCACACCTTTAGCATTTCTCCCTGGTGTGGTAGGGTCAGATTAGGCACAATTCCCACACTACATCCACATTTGTCTCCGTGAGAGGTGTCAGTGAGGGATGTCCTGTCTCATGGTAGGGCTGGCCCTATGGTCCTCTCCGTGCATTGGCTGCTCTGAGCAGGAATATCATCCTCAGGGCTTGGTGGGCCAGGATGTGTTCCATTCCCTCTCCTTCCCTCTTGGCTTGCTCCTGTATGCTCCTATCAGATGCAACCCTCTCCCTGTGCTTTAGCTTCAATGCTATCCTCTGAAGTGAATTCTTTGGTGAGGGGGGAGGGTCGCTATCCATGTAGTTGGGATTGGGGCCAGCCCCTCAGACCTCTCTATTAGTTCCCTGCTTCGCGCCAGTATGTTGCATTCACATCTTGGTGCAGCGGGTTGAAGTTTTGGTTCCTCTATCCCTCTCCTGTGGTGATATAAAGAATGCCCTCCCCTTGTGTGGATTAGTGCCCTGTTCCCCCACCACTCATGTTTTGTTTTTTTCTTTTCCCTCCTTTTTAAGTGACTTCCATCTGTATCCATGAATTGGGTTTGACACCTGCCACAGTACATGGACCTCACTCCAGGAATGTATGTATATATAGCATTTTCCCTATGGCCCTTTTTCATTTTTAAACTTACCTCAACAGACTCATGTTGTAATTGTCCTTTTATGCTTGGCTTACTTTGCTTAGTATAATTTCTCCGATTCTTCCCATGCGGCAATGTGCTTCATGCATATATCACTGCTTTTTAGGGATGTGTAGTACTCCATGGTATGTTTGTAACACCGTTTTTAAACCATTTGTCCACTGATGGAAATTTGGGTTGTTTCCAACTCCTTGAAATTGTGAACTGTGCTGCAATGAACATTGGAGAACAGAGGTCTTGCCACAGTTTGTGTCTTGCCGCCTCTGGGTATATGACCAGGAGGGAGGCGTGGTTTCTGGGTAATATGATAGTATGATTTCCAGCTATTTTAGATATGCCAAATTGATTTCCATAGTGGCTTTACATGCCTACTGCGCCACCAACAGTGGACTAGAGTTCCTATTTCACTACAGCCCCTTCAACACTTGTCAATTTCTGATATTTTGAATTGGGCTATGTTTGAGGGTATTAGGTGGTATCTCATAGTTGTTTTAATTTGCATTTACTTATGACTAATGATCTGGAACATTTCTCATATGTTTATTGGCCATTCAGATTCCTGCCCTTGTGAAATTTCCATTCAGATCCTTCGCCTACCTCCTCAGTGGGCATTTAGTTTTTATTTTTATTTTTGTAGCTAGCAGAGTACGTAGGTGTTTGATCTTCCATGTATCCCACTTTTCAATTTGTGCCTCCTCTGTGTTTGTGTCCTTCTTTATTTCCAATAGTCTATGTATTCCCTCAGCCAAAATTCTCAGGTTTATGCCTATCCCCTCATTGATGACTGTGGTAGTCTAGGAACATTAGAGAAACAAATCCACAGAAACTCATATGTATAAGAGAGAGTTTTATATAAAAGGTAAGTGCACATTGAGAAAACATCCCAACCCAGTGCTGCCCAAACCCACAAGTCCAACATTAACCCATTAACCCATATGTCCAACACCAATCCACAAAGCCCTCCTCCATCTCACAAAATACATGCAATGATGCTGACTGCAGGAGGAAAGTTGAGTCAGTGAATGTGTAAGCATCTCAGTGCTGGCAAGGGTCTCCACACAGCTGCTCCAGTACCCACAGCTGCTCCAGTACCCAGGGCTGCATCAGGGTAAGTCCATGTGGCTTTTCATCAGGTATGTCTTACAGGAAGTGAGCCTTGCCATATGAAGCAGGGAACTGGCTAAGGCAGCTACTGTACACCCTGGTCGGGCCATCAGAAAGCAAGAGACCCGAGAACTCAAAAGGCGAGGCTCACTGAGCCATTTATCTCTCCACCCTTCAATTAACGCCACATGTGTTTATTGGCCAGGTTGGCACAATAAACTTTAAATATCTCAATGACCCTAATAGTTTGAGGGTTTACTTCAAGGTCTGTGGTCCACCTTGAGTTTATTCTTGTGTATTGAGTGAGGTAAGGGTCTTGCTTCATTTTTCTGGATGTGAAATCCATTTTTCCCGGCACCACTTGTTGAAGAGGGCCTCTGTTTCCCATTTGATATTTTGGGGGCCCTTATCAAAGATCAGTTGTCTTATATGCTGATGATTTTATTTCAGGGTTATCAGTCCTTTTCCATTGGTCTGAGTATCTGTCATTATACCA